AAAAGCACACTATTTTTTTCCCTTTAAAAAAAATTATACACAACCAAGCTCTGTATTGCTGATTGATAAACAAAGTAGCCTAGAACAATAATTCAAGTACAAGCTTGGCAGCAAGTAAAAAAAAAATGCAGTGCTTAAAATAAGTTCCTTACTTTTAGGACCGTAGTCTGAAACTATGTGGTATATCTGTTCCTTGGTTTCAACAAATCAGAACTACATTAAGAAGGCCCGGCCTTCCCAAAAAATTGATGAAAATTTATTAAGCAGCGGTCCATTTTTCAAAATTGATTCAAGACATTTCGCATGGAAATGGTAGTTGTTTCAACATTAGCAATAAAGATAAGCGTTAATACTGTAGCATCACAATCTGTAAAATAGAGGATGCTGTGTTGCAAATCCAAGCCCTGGCCCCCTTTGTATATGCACTGACACTGTGCCTGCCATTTTACAGATACCCGCCCTTTGTCATAGATGCTTGTGCCTATGGGCAAAGAATCCTAGCCCAATGCCTCATTCCTTTACTTTATCTCTCTTTATTATGGCACAACACTTCTATCTACACTTAATGATTTAAAATAAATATCAAATCAATGATGTTAGGAATATTGCAACTGACTACTATCTATACAATTACTGTACTCTTAAATATGTTGGCTACAGTATAAATTTAAAAATTTCCATTCACTCTACTAACTTAAAAACTAAAATATTTAAATTTTAATTATCTTCTCTGATAAATATCAGAGTTTACTGAAATGTTATTTACTGAAATGTTATTTTCAAGCTAAGATACTTATGAAGCCAATTTTTTAACTATATGAATGTTTCATTTCTGTCAAACATTCCTTACTTTTTCCAAAGAATATATATTTTTATCATTGCAAATGTTAACATTATACTGTATGAATGTGTTGAAAACAAAATCTGAAAGATATGTTTCTTTTTTTTAGTAAATGCTTCTTGCATAGATTTTGACAGACTTGTACTTTTAAGCTTTTTAATAAATTTTCTCTAGGTACCCTTAACTGCTAAAGTATAACTATTGTTGTTTTGCAACGATAAACCAACATATTTTTTTTTTACTTTTATTAACTGTCATTGTAAATGCTAATCTTCCAGAAGCTTGCCTTATAAATTCTACACTTTATGCTGTTTTTCTACATGTTTGTTACTAGCAGCTATATTATATTTGGAATTCATGTTTTTACAAAGAACAACTGCACTCTATTTTGAGTTCATGGAGAAATTTCTAATGCATTATTTCTGGGCAGTAATTAATTAAAGTTGTTTCTTTATAAAACCATTCCCAAAGGGTGATGTACTTGATTATCTCACGTTCCTTCTCCAAAGTCAACATTGTAGATACTAATTGTGGAAAGATAGATTACATTATACATTGCTCCTTCTCTTATATGTTCTGTTCTACTCCGCTATCCTTTTGTCCAATAGAAATTTTAAAAACTGTTTGTTGGGAACAATCACCTGAGCAGTTCAGGTTTTTACATAAATTTTAACTCTTTATTTTGCATGAATGGGGAGTAATTCTGGAAGAGTGGCCTGCATCTTTCTTCAGAATTAGTACTGATATCATTGTTTATTAACACTCCCAACATCAATAAATGTGTTTTCAATCTTCAGGCACCTGTAGATGTTCATATTTTTTGAACATTCAGCAATATAAAGAGATAGGAAATTCAGGTGGATTGAATGTCTAAAATCAAAATGAAAGCATAACTGTAGATTCCACAACATAAAAAATAGGAATGTAGAATTACATTTGAATTGCAATAACACGACACTAAAATAATTTATTTTGGAAGTGCCTTAGATATTTGTATAAGGTCTTTAGCTAAGATGCAAAAATCAGGGAGATATACAGCAGATAAATGCTGAATTGCCAATTATCAAATTTCACTCAAATCACTCTCCAAATTCAAAGACTATCAGTAAGAAGACAGTAAGTCGGAGCAGTTTTATTACATAAAGTAAAAGAAAAGTCATAATAAGAGCAAAGGTGGAACTTGCCAGTTCCCTTGGCTTATTTTTCTGAGATTCAAATATTGCATCTGTCTTTCTCAACTGTGTACTCTTCCAGATTAGGAAATGTTCATTTCTCAATGGAAGAAGAGGTTGACACCTAGGCCTCTTTGATCTTAGGCTCTATAGGTGTGAACTTAGTACCTAAACTACTGAACTCACATCAGCCATCTTGCCATCAGATCGTATCCTTCCTCCAGTAAACCTCAGGCAATATCAAGGAAATCTAAAATCTAAAATATCAAGGAAATCTGTAATAAGCATTGTTATTCAAAAGACATTCCTTAAAAATATTAAAGCAGAAATAATCAATATTGTGCCCTCTAAATATTGTTCACTGTCACTGATTTCAGCTCATACTTTTGATGTTATCTCTGGCCTTCTGATTTGAGACGCAGCTTCCTGTAAAGAAGGAGTACATCGATGGGGCAAGTTGTATTTTGTGACAGATTCACATTTATAGTAGTCGTCAACTTATGACTGACTGTTTGAAGTCATAACAGCCTTGGAAAGGGTGCTTTATGGCCCATTTAGCACTTTGGGATGTTGTAAAAGTTATGCCACCCTCCCCCACCATATCACATGATCACAATCTGGGTGCTTGGCAATCTGTTTGCATTTACAACTAGTTGTCAAGTGTTCCACAATCATGTGATTGCCATCTGCAATCTTCTCTTCCAGCTTCCCCAGAAAGTCAATGGGGAAGCTGGCAGAGAAATGTTGCAAGCTTCTTCCCCTGCTGCAGAGCTGAGATTCCCTCATAACAGGCAGTCCTTTGATAGCAAAAGAGCTGCCTGCTAGAGGGAATCTCAAATCTATGTGGATCTGAGATTTTCCCATCCCATGCCTGCAGGTAACCCTTTAAGCATGAAAGGGCTGCATGCCCGTAGGGAATATCAGTTCCATACAAAGCTGAGATTTCTCTCTCTGTCTCATATACACATACACTTACCACAGGCAGCCCTTCAAGAGTGAAAGAGCTGCTTGCTGAGGGGAGGGGAACTCCTCTGAAGAACTGCAGAAATGGAGGTCAGATCCCAAACATCTAAGCTGCATTTCTGCAGCTGTTTGGCATTCTCCTCCACCAAGGAGAGAAGAAGAACTCCTTCAGTGGGCTGCAGGAAAAGAGCTGGGATCTTCAGGATCTGAGCTCCATTTCTCCACCTTGCCCTCCCATGCATGTAAAAGTACTGCTCCAGTGTGATTCAAGAACATAGCATTTTCTTGCAGCCACTAGAACAGGGCTTTTCAACCAGTGGTACGGGTACCACCTGTGGTACACTGTCACCTGGCAGGTGGTACGTGAACATCCTAGAAAAGTGGTAGCAGGCAGGCAGGTGTCTTGCTTGGCTGTGGCTTGGGGGGCATGTTTTTCAGTGCTATTGTAACTTCAAACAGTCACTAAGCAAACTGTTGTAAGTCGAGGACTACCTGTACTTTATCACTTTTTTCCTTTTTTGGGGGGGTCATCAAGTTTTTGACACCTTGCTAGGAGACTGGTGGTACTCAGATATTGTCATATCCTAAATGTGGTACAATGGGTGAAAAGGTTGAAAAGCCTTGCACTAGAGGAGTTGTTCTTCCCTCTTTGTGTGAAGGAAAATTCCAAAGGGTTGCAGAAATGCAGCTCAGGTCTTTGGGATTTGACCTCCATTTCTTCCCTTCAGCAGGCAGCCCTTCCACTCTTGAAGGGTTGCCTGTAGTGTATATGTGTATATGAGAGAGCAGTTCTCTTTCCTGTATAGAGGGAGACAAACACTCCTGGTGGCGTGGAATAATAGAGCTCATATCCTGAAGATCCAAGCTCTGGTCCAGCAGCCCACCAAGGAAGTAACTTTCTATGCATGGAGGGAGCTAAACTTGACAAGCTGTCCTTTTGCTCCATCTGCTTAACGACATGGAAAATTAATTAATGACCTTAACCAAGAGTGCCCGGACTGCAGTTGTTAAACAAAGGAGTCATTTGGGCATCTCACTTAATAACTGCTTCACTCAACAACTGAGATTCTAATGCCTATAAGCCGACATGTATCCAATAAACATGTTGTTTGAGGAATTCTCGTGCCTCGAAGTTCTGCTTTATTTGGTTCCATTGGTCGGAACCTGGACACATATATTTTGAAATAAAATATCACTGGAGTTGAAGCAGATCTCCTTCTTAAAGAGAAGGTTTATAGTATTTTTCTTTTAGTTTGTATTTGCCTATATGTTTTTAATGTTGCTTTTGTAGATACAAAAGCATCTTTGGAAGATTTTAAAATAATGGATTGTATACACATTGCCTAAACAGATAAAGTGAATATTTCAAATGTTATGATTTTATCAGCAATGTCATGAGCTTGGAACAGCCATCACAACATTTACAGAAAAGTAAGAAGAGATGCATATTTGAATAAATCCAATAAATCAAAATTCAGGAAAAAAGTTAAATTTTAGACTTTTTTTGATATTTCTGCCCTATCAATTTGACTTAATACTATTAGCAATCTAGGACAAGAAGTGAGTCATTCTTTTCTGCATAGCACCTAGTACACATTTGGTATTGAATCAATATAAAATTATAGCGCCAGCTGCAGCTAATGAAGCCAGTAGAATTATGAAAAAAATCAAATGAAATGGATTAGTTTTCTATGTGATCTAGTGTAAGTATTCATAAAAACTTTTATTTTAAAAGCTGCACATGTTCTCCAACAAAGTGCATCATTAATTATTATGACAAATTGTCATGATACAACCAAAATATTACTGAATTTAATTTCACAATGACATGAACATTCTAATGTTTTAATACCTCCATTTGCTAAGCTAAACAGGATCAAAATAAACTTAACAAGTTTGAAGAGTTTCTTAAACTCCCTGTGGCTATATGTGTTCAATGTATACTTTAATTAACTTGAAATCTAGAACAGGCTGTCATGTAGCCTGTGATCTGGTGGAAAGAGCTCCTACTTTTCTTGTTCCAGACAGGAATGTGGTGACCACTACTGAGTTAGACCAGTACAGAAGTTTGCTTAAGATGACTGAGCCTAAAATTTTGACTGATGGCTAGTTTGTACAATTGCATCCCAGTAAGTATATCTGGTGGCTTTAATCTGATTTTTTTTAAGTCTTTTGCTCCACAAGGTTCTCTTAAAATACTTAGTTTTGATCTTATTACTCCTTCTTAAGCAGAATGGATTATTTTATTTGATATGCTATCTTCATTTATTGGATTAACTCCTGAACCACCTCAAATATGCCTTGATCTACAGAAGCAGACAGAGATATAGGTAAACAAAAATGAAACATGAACAAAAAATGACATTACTTAATGTTTTCTGTTATGTTTGTTACAATATTCCTGCATATTTGGCTGCCAAATCTGAAAATGATCAATAAGAAATCAGCCAACTGGCAGGAAGAATATGTATTAAGAAACCATTTCCCAGGCTTTGACACTTTAAATGATTACTTCACTAATTATGTTAATTTAAGAGTCAATGTTGGCACAACAAAAACAATTTTTAAAAATATGTACTTTAGAGGTTTTAGGATATATAGCATTACACTTGAAAGAGGAACAAAAAAAATACAAAAGTTGAAAATTAAAATATATAGCTTATTGCCAACAGAACTTTATTGTCCATCATTCCCACCTATGAATAGATTGAATATATCAAAATATAGGCAGGAAAGCATTCAGACAATGAGAACTTCATATAAAACAATTGGAATATATTGTAATTTCTGCTAATATAGATTTGTGTTAATATAGTCAGTAATAAACTACTACTTTTTACTCTCTTGATAAACATTTTTTTGGTGATGAAAAGATGTACAGATAGTTCTCAAATTATGATCATAATTGTGCACAAAATTTCAGTTGGACACTTGTTAAGTGAGTTTTCCCCATTTTACGACCTTTCTTGCCACAGTTGTTCAGTTAATCACTGCAGTTTTAAGTTAGTAACATGGTTGTAAAGTGAATCTGGCTTCCCATTAACTTTGCTTGTCAGAATGCGTTGCAAAAAGTGATCACATGACCCTGGGACACTAAGTATGAATCAGTTGCCAGGCATCTGAATTTTGATCATGTGACCATGGGAATGTTGCAATGGTCGTAAGTATGAAAAACAGTCGTAAGTCACTTCTTTCAGTGCCACTGTAACTTTGAACAGTCATTAAATAAATAAATAGTTGAGGACTACATGTACACAAAGAAACATTATTCTACAGTAAGTAAAGATAGAACTATAACTGCATATGAGAACCGTGACATTTAGCTACAACATTTGGGTAGCCTTAAGAAAGAACAGCAATTATTCCTCCTGCTAAAAAAAGAAAATAGGTGGAGTCTTTGTTTACATAATTAGCTAGGTCTTTAGAAAAGGCAAACTGGAAAAAAAAATCAGCCATGCATGAAAAGGTCCTATCTCTAATTAAAAAATAATAATACCATCTGGTTCTCAGGGGGAAATTGAACTATCCCTTCACTTTCTCCAAACATAAAATCTAATTCCAGCTCTTATTTGTTATTAGTTTATCAAAGGGCTGCCTTACAAATATTTGTCTGTAGTAGCTTAGATAGGGAAATAAATTCATCAGAAGCAAATTCAGAGAAATAATCATGATGCATATTTCACCATAGTTTTCCATTATATTTTGAGTATTTCACCTGGTACTGATTTTTATGCAAGTATGTAAAAATGTATCTATTAATAAGTTAAGAGTTAGAAGTCTTTTTCCAAACTTTTCACCCTATTTACATTTGTGGAAATGGATTACACTAGGTTTGTAGACAGTGATATTTATTATTAAAAATCTGTTTTGTTCATTTGTCACATTATAATGGAACAAATGTTCTGAGGGGTGCTCTTCCAGTCTGATGAACTACCGCTAAAACTACTAAAAAATAATCTGACCAGTTATTTCTAAAGTCCATATACAACAAATTAATTTTGTACACATTAAACAGATGTGAACTATTTTTTCTGTCCATTAGGTATAATCTGGATTAGAAATCCCAATTTGGAAAATAAGTGTATCTATGTTAAATCACTGTACATATTTGCTATATAATGATAGCAAATTATTTATTATTATTATTATTGTTGTTGTTGTTGTTGATGATGATGATCATTGCACAGTCAGCCAGATGTTCAGACTGGATTTGGCATTTTTGTCTGCTTATCGAGTCCTTACCAAGGACCTAGGATAGGCAGATGTGGATGTTTGATGGTATTACATATATCGTCGCAGGATGGAAGCTGTTCCTAGTAAGGCCACATTTTGCAATTGACTGATGGTGAATTTGTCAATGCCAATGGCGTTCAAGTGGTGCTCCAGTTGTTTTGGGATTGCACCCAAGGCACCTATTACTATTAGAACTACCCTTGCTTTCTTTGCCACAGTCATTCTATTTACATTTGTAAGTCTTCTTTTCTCTAGTTCTTTCTCTTTTTTCTGCTGTACCCAGGAACTGCCACATCCACTATTCAGACGTTTTTGTCTTTCTTTTGTCTCGACAATTAGTCCCTTGCTGTCTTTCTTCAATTTTCCTGTTCTTAGCCATTGCCAGGTCTTGTTATTATCTGCTTTCTCAGCTATTTTTTTAATGTACTGGCCATGTAGTGCTTTGTCTTCCCATGCCTATATTCTGTTCTTCATTTGGTTTTTCTTGTAGGCCAGTTTGGCCTCTCCAGTAGTCAATAAGCCTTCCTGATATACTAACTTCAGTACATCTTCTTCATTGTCCTTCAGATATTCTTCCAAAGCCATTTTTTCTTCTTCAACCATCTGATGTACTTGCAACATTCCACGCCCACCTATTTGCTTTGGTACATAGAGTCTGTCAATGTCACTGGGTGGATGAGGGCATGATTCATTGTCATTATTTTTCTGCTCTTCCTATCCATTGCTTTTAGTTCTGCTTGAATCCAGTCCACTATTCCAGCTGTGTATCTCATGAATGGAATTGCCCAAGTGTTGATTGCCTTCATGGTATTTCCTCCATTGAGTTTGGACTTTAAGATCTTTTTTACTCTCTTGATGTATTCACCTCTAATCTTTTTCTTGACTTCAGTGTGCTTGATGTTGTCAGCCTGAAGGATACCCAAGTACTTGTAGTAATCTTCCTCATCCAGACTCTTAATGTTATTTTCGTGGAGCATCGTGATTCTTTCAGTTTTCACTATTTTTCCTTGTTTGATAGTAAGTATGGCACATTTGTTCAAGCCAAACTCCACTGCAATATCTTGGCTATATATAGGGACACTTTTGAGCAGCGATTCTATTTCAGATGATATTTTTCCATACAGCTTCAGATCATCCATGTAAAGGAGGTGGGATAGTCCGGCAGATGTTTTTAACGTTTAATAGCTATGGCCTGAGTTATTCAGTATTGTTGACAGAGGAAACAGGACACAATAACAAATAGTAGTGGTGATAGTGAATCTCCTTGAAACATTCCTCTCTTGATATTAACCTCTCCCAGTCTCTCACCATTGACCTGCAACTGTGTCTTCCATTGTCCATCGATCTTTGCACAAACTTTCTGATGTTTCTACTGACTCCTGCTATTTCTACACACTTGATTGTCCAATCATGTGGCAGAGAATCAAATGCCTTTTTGTAGTCAATCCACACTACATTCAGATTGGTCTTCCTTCTATTGCGGTTTTACAAGATCATTTTGTCTATTAGGAATTGGCAGTAGAGGAATCCAGCAGATATATAGAACTATTTTCATTTGGAAACCAGGCACTCTCTCCTCTGCCTTTAACTAAAGAAGTAAAAGAATTGAAACAAAGAATAATTGAGCACCTAGAACAGCACAAAAACATCAGAATAAGGCTGCCTGCATTGAAGCTTGTTCCAAAGGAACACTTAGCACAAACATTAAAGGATGCAAATACTGCACTATCAAGTATAAACACTAACTTACTGCAAGAAACAAACCAACTAATGTTCAGCACAGCTGCAGATATAACTGAATACTTGTGATGCAAAATCAACCAACTAACCAAACAAACAAACTGCACCACAAAAATGGAAGATTAGACTGGAAAATGAGATCAGACACAAGCAAGCTAGAACTGGTTAAAAAAGAAGCTGAAGAACAAGAATGCCAAAGAATACCTAATCAAGAAATACCAACTAGATGCTCTTGGACTCATCAGGTACCACACCAGTTAGCAATTTGAAAGTTGTTGGTGAGCAGGTAATTGGTCTGTAGTTGCCTGGTGCTGCCCCTTTTGCTGGATCTTTCATTATCAGGTAGGTTTTCCCAATTGTTAGCCACTTTTCAACTGATGGATTGGTAGAAATGTTTTTTGATTGGACTGAAATTGCAGGTTCTGCTTATAATTTGCAATTCAAGCTTCGTCTCTACTGACCTTTTGGCTATAGCTATTATTTGCTACTTTATTATTTCCAGTGCTTTGTTGATCTTCCTTGTTTGCCTCTACATTACTTCCTGCAAGGCTTTGATTTCTTTGCCCTGAGTAAATCTTTGCAGTTCTTCCAGTTCTGCTTCTGTGAATACTTTATTTTGTATTATAAACTGATGTTGATCTGCTAGCCTCTGTTCTGTTATTTCTGATTCTGGATGTTGTTCTTTCCAGAACTAGTGTGTTTGTTTCAAATATCCTTTTCTTGTTGGACTTGATCTGTAATAACAGTTCATTATTTCTTTGTTTTCAATCACTCTATGTAGTTTTCACAAAAGTGTATATAAAGAGAAGCTAAATTTATTAATGGAGACGGTGATTACAAGGAATAATGTATCATCAGGAATAATGTATCACAATTGGCTCTAGACAGGACATGCTTAGAATGAAACTGTTACTAATAATGCATGCACATCACTCACAAAACCTGTGTATCCTAACCATTAGGCTGGTGTCTATCAACTAACAGAGGAGTGGGGGAATAAACCCTTTTACAGATCCCTAAATCTAAATAGCTCCAAAGAACAGGAGAAACACAAGTCAAATTACAAGAAGGGTACCCCAAAAAATCTCTCTTTACCATGCAAGTTGTCATCTGAGATACATAATATGTATTTGAGTGATTTAAGAGAAAGGCAATC